GCACGGCCTTCTGGGTAAAGCCGAGCAGGCGGCTGTAAGCCCCTCGGGAGTTTCAGGAAAGCAGAGAGTGTGTACAGCATTGTAAACTATTCTTGTAGAAAATACTGTCCACCGCGCAGGCTGAGGTAGAAATCCCCTCCCGCGATGGTCACCACAACCCAACCCGGGCCTGGAGTTTCCTGGCTGTCGGGCGCGCGGGCGAGCGAGCAACCATCCTTTTCTTGGGGTTGCGCTACTGTCCAATGAACGCATAGTGAGGGCAGTACTGCTAACGCCTAACAACACACCTGCATCGGTTAGAGCTTTTGCTTTACCTTGGTGCAATTTTTGGAAAAACCACAAAACCTCCTTTTCTGGCTTTAAAGTTTAAGAATAACTAAGTTAGTGGCTTAGTGTTTCCACCATTGTCTTCTAGAGGGCAGCAGTGGCAGATGGTTACCATTATAATGCTATGTCACTAGGTTTTCCTGCTAGAGGGCAGTCTTTCTTCCTGGGCCGTTGTTTTAGAATTGGTTTATTTATGGCCATTTTCTTTTTAAGAAACTTTTAGTTCAAAATACTGGTTTTACTTTTGAACCATAGCATGTAAATTTTCCTGGTTTGGTTCCCTTCCACAGAACACTGTAGGTAAGGGAGTACAGAAACCTGATAAACCTCATCCAGGTAACCAAGGTAAATATGAACAATGCTAAGTCATCACGCTGGCGATGTAAGCTAAATATAATGTGATATACACTTCAGGTCTGTGACAGTCTCTCCAAAGTTTATAAGCATGGGTAATCACAAGAAAAACATAAGGTAAACTCAAATCATGTTCCACTGATATCTGAGAAATTGACAAAGGTAAGAGGGAGAAAAGGAGGGAAACTAAATATAATAGGTATCCTGGATAGAAGTCCCAGGTGTAGTAGGGGACATTTCCTTAGGAAAAGATAAAAGAGATCTAACTTGACCACAAAATTCTAGAGACAACCTTTCAGAAACTGGTTCCCCTTCTCATAGGGCCATCATCCCCTGGAAAAGGGCACCCAGGCATCAAAAATTTTTGTAACCTCATGATTTGCCTGGGAAGAAGAAAATAGCATTCCAAAGATATTTTTTTTTGAAAGAACCCAATAACGAAAGACCAAATTAAGAGTCAATGAATGGATTCTATTTAAAGTGCACTGTACACAGAACAAGAAAACTTAAACAGGAGGGGAGTCAGGGAAAGATCCAAAATAAAGCACAAGGAGGCAAGCGGAGAACACAGACGCTTTGGCGAAAAGCAACAGCTGGCATTCACTAGGCGGCTACTACACAGGAAAAGGGGAGAAAGGGGGGAAAAGGGGGGAAAAGGGGGGAAAAGGGGAGAAAGGGGAGGGGAGAGGAGGGGAGAGGAGGGGAAGGGAAGAAGTGACAGTGTAAAGAAATAGGAGCTGTACACTGCTGGTGGGAGTGGAAAATGGTGTCAATGTGCTTTGGACATAAAGGCAAAAGAGGTAAAGCGGCGTCAGGAGCTGTGTGTACCCTCACCAATGGCATCATTTCTACACATAGCCTAACAGATGAGTGGATGTTCAACACACGGTCTTATCCATAAAATGCATCCTAAAGTCAGTCACACTTGTCTTCTATCCTCCTTAGTCACAACTGTGCTTTCTGTGACACATTACAAATTCCTGAAATAAACAATTTATACAATTGAAATTGTGCACTGTACTGAGGAGCACAATAAAATCTCACACTCAGAATGAGAAACATGCCTTTGGCATCCAGTGTCCAAGAGTATAGGATGCCCTCCATGAATCATTTGGCAGTCATACTGGCAGGTATTCTGAGAGACTCGAGTGTGCTAAGGAAGCCCTTAGCTACTTAAAAATGTTCCCGAAACACAAGAGTGACACTGACAATTTGGATATGCCGAACAGAAAAGTATTGTGACTACAGGGACACAGTTCCACACCTGGCTTCCCCTTCAGCAAGGACTTGATAGCCTGGTAAATATATGTAGAATATATGTAGAAATACAGAGCTCCCTCCTACTGGACACCAGGGCTGACTACAGAACAGAGGGACAAAGGCAGGTGCCATTAGTTCACAAGCAGATTGCTAACAGAGAAATCTACCAGCAGCCAGAAAAGGACACAGGCCCAAGCATTTGGGGCACTTTTTTGACCAGGCAAGCCCGGAAGAGCCGTGGAACAGTGCTATTTTTAGATAAACACCCTTGGGTCACTCCAGTGTCTAGAGGGAATAAAAGGAGAATGCCTCCCGTGATACAGCGGGCTCAAGCAATACAGCTTCAGCTTCAGCTCCAGCTCCTGGGCTAGGAGATTTCACGGGACCAGACTGATGCAGGGCATACTTGACTCTCTCATCCCTAAGGCACTTTGGGAGAAGCAAGGCAGTGCAAACCACGATTATCCACGCCCACTATGCTTAAAACAATCAGTCTTCCCACTATGTCAAGGCCATTTTCAGTGCAGCTCCACCACATTATACACAGACCTGGTGCTTTCAGGCTTGTTCACCTCTGCCCAGCTAGCTTAAGACCTTGGGCAAGTCACAACGCTTCCCAGCCAACACCAGATGACCTCCCAAGTCTCCTGACTCTCTTTGGTGCCCTGATAATGCCAGGTCCTGAAAAAGCACATAGGCTCCCTAAGCCCAGACTCATTGGAGACCAGGCTCAACCACCCCCTTGCCAGATGTCTCATCTCCAACTTTGAAAAGCACCACCTAACAATATATCTACCCTACAGAGCACACAGGAGGGTTGGCAAGCTTTATCAATATGCCTGGCACACAGTAGGTATCCATAAGGAGCCCACCCATTCATCAGTAAAGCAGGTGTTAGGGCCAGGAAGAGGGTTTCTGTTGGGATACATGCTACTGATCTCTATACATTGTTGAGTTGTTCCTTCTACTGTTCAGCTGTAGCCTGTTATCAATTAAAGAGAAATTAGTTAGCACTCTATTCTGAGCTCACTTCCAACTTCAAGATTAAGTGCACAATGCAAACCCAAGAGGAAAAACCTGTAAGTTTGGAAGTAATGGGAGTCAAGCCCCACACATGCACAAAGGAGAGGACTTGTCTGGCAGAGCTGTCCGACAGAGCAGTCACCTAGGGAATTCCTGGACACTCGTGGTCATACTAATGCCACTGGGCTGGCTCTTTCTTAAATCCTTGTCTGGAAGACCATCTGGAGAAATTACAGGACTTGTTATAAGCTTATTGCCAGTTGCTGCCCCTACAGAGATGTGACTATTAGAACAGGACTCCGGACATTGCATCATCAAACCACTTCTTTTCATAGGAGGCAACTATGGCCACAAAAAGTCAGGTGAAATCATAGTGCCAGGCAGACTTAGGAAGCTGTGTTTGGAAGTCAGATGTGCCTGGCACAGCACATCAAAATGGCAAGTATTCTGTGATGATCTAGTCCAATACAGCAATCACTGCCACATGTAGGGCTGAAGCAATAGCCCCGGTGCTTGTCACACAGGTACGATGACCTGCCTTCACTCATCAGCATGCACTGTAGTTTGTTGCCAGAGACTTGCAATCCCAGTGCTGGGGAGGCAGAGACAGGCAGATGACTAGGGCTCCCTGGCCGGCCAGCCTAGCCTCCTTGGTGAGACCTGGGTCACAGTGACAGACCCTGTCTCAAAAACAGAAAGAGAGAAAAAAAGAGGAACCAAGGATGATACCCGAGGTTGGTATCTGGCTGCCAGAAGCATATGTGCACACACTCATACATGTGTGTGCACACATACAAACACAGAAATGTAAACAGTGCAAATGGAAACCAGAAGCTTTCATTTCGTAAACGTTAGTTATTTCAATAGCCACCAAGACTCTGGCTACCCTGCAGCACAGCTGGCTCCAAACTTAAATGAGCAAGGAGAAATGAGGCAGGCCATGGAAGGGGTGCAGGGCAGCCGTAACACCAGGGCAGAGCGTGGAGCTCATGGTGCCCACAACCCCCTACCCACACCTCCTCATTCGATACAGCCTCCCTCCCACACTGTACTGTTCTCTTGCTGGTAAACAGTTTTCCAAATTTCTGCAAAATGTATTCAGGTTGACTTGTAAATTGATTCTTTCTCCAAACAGAACATAAGCTCCAAGAACTTAGAATATTTTGTATAAAGATTTATTTATTATGTATACAGTATTCTGTCTGCATGTATGCTTGCATGCCAGAAGAGGGCATCAGATCTCATTACAGATGGTTGTGAGTCACCATGCAGTGGCTGAGAATTGTTGTTCCCTTGGAAAATCTTTCTCTTGAATTCAAAGTCAAGTTAAATATGAATACCATACATCCTTCGGTCCATATTTCATTCATTAAAATACAATCACATCACTTCCCCCTTCCCTGTCCTCCTTCCAACTCCACCCATGGCCTCTCCCTCCATATTTATTATTATTATGCATAGTGGGGGAGTGGCACATGCACAGAGGTCAAAGGACAACTTTGTGCACTCAGTTCTCTCCTTCTGTCTTTATGAGGGTGGCAAAACTGAATTTAGAGCCCCAGACTTTACCATGTAAGCCAGCTCTCCCACAACTTCAGCTGGGCCTTATCTAAACCCAAAGATTTTAGATCCAGGTCACTGGGGTGGAGGTGGGCTAGGTATCTCTCGTGAGATACGCGACCCACATGGGCCAAGACAAAGGATCTTTAGAAATCCAGATGACAAAACTCAGAAGTGACGACAGCCAGTGGCAAGGACATGGAAAAACTGGAACCCACAAATACTGCTAGTGGGACTGTAATAGAATGCAGTCTCATACTTCATCAGTATTAACCATGAGAGAAATTCTGTCCCAGTTATCCCACTCCTGGAGAAATACTCAAGAGAACAGAAAAGCTTTGTCTACACAACAATATACAAATGTTCAAAACACAGCTAGTTATTCACAACAGTCAGTAGATAGAATCAATCAAGCCACATGTACGACAACTGAATAACAAAATATGGCGCATCTCTACAATGAGCATTTGGGAATAATGAAATGATGTATGCTAAATTCATACCAAAACATGAATGAAACAACTTGCAAATAGTACCTGTCTGTGAAATGAACTGGACACAAATGGACACATGTTGTATGGCTCTTAAGAAATATCTAGGATAGTGACAGGAAAATACTCAGGACAGTAAGGTGGCTAATAGTTGACACAGTCAGGTACTGACATAGAGCATGGCTGCTGATGAAGTTAGATAATAGTGGCTCAGTAGATGGTTCAGCAGGTGAAGGCACTTGCAGCCAAGCCTGATGGGCTGAGTTCAATGGTGGAAAGAAAGCATAGATTCCTGTAAGTGTCCTCTGACCTCCACATGC